ATATATATATATCTATGAAAATATTTTATCTTCCTGAGGTTAAATGATACCTTATTACTACAGTTCTGCTGTAATGTAATGTGCACTGTTTGAACCATGTTGATGTAAGTAGATTGCAGCTTCATGTCTGACAGCTGCAGGAATTGCTGAATGTGAGACCAGAAAGCTGCTTCACAAAAGCATCATGGGAGGAGGGTACCAAGTGATTGCAGCTGGTTCATATCTATCTGTATATTGTTGATATAATATTCTGCTTTAGCTTCTGGTGATACTATTTATACAGGGATGGGCAGAAGTAAGTTTACAGTTGTTCGTATAGAGAAAGGCATGCAAGTTACTATTATTACAATAGCTTTATTAGCTGTGTTTCGTGTACTCACAACTATAAACCTACTTTTTCCCACTACTGTATTTTGCTTTTAAAAAAAGTGTGAACACTATTGAACAACACAAAATAACCATTGCTAATAGGAAAGTTTGGTTTTTTAATGTTGTATCTTCTGGGCTGTAATATAAATTTTATGGAGGTCTTTTTTCACGGCTGTGATCCCCTGAATTTGTATTTGAGGAAGGAGGAAAGATTTGTTAGGTGCACAGTGTAAAGTAGACGTTGACAAAGAAATATGTAGGTCAGATGACCTGTAAGTATTTTATAGTAAAGGTGACAATTTGTAACTTAAGGTGGAAGACAGAACAGGAGAGGTGGTTATACAAGTGCTTGAAATAGTCATCATGTCACAGAGAGCAGAGCAGAGAAAACCTTAAAATCTGAGGTGTTGGTGAAGCTGTGAGGCCAAGGACAGAGAAGGATGGTGAAGAGGAAAATGCTTAGAATTCGGGTATAGAACAGAAACTGTGACAGAAAGAGTTGACTTCTGATTTTTACATTGGAATAATTATCGCTTCCTTATTTATTCTCAAAACAATCCTTGTGGTGTCTTTCCCTTTCTTGTGAAATCTTTGAGCAAACTTTTAAAAATGTTTTTATTGATTGATTTGAGAGAGAGAGAGAGAGAGAGAGAGAGAGAGAGAAAGCATCTATTTGTTGTTCTGCTTATTTATGCATTAATTGGTTGATGCTTGTATGTGCCCTGACCAGGGATAGAACGCACAATCTTGGCACATCAAGACGACATTCTAACCAACTAAGCTACCGAGCCAGGGATCTCTGAGCAAACTTGTTGCCTGAGGAATAATATGTGTTTTTGCAACCGTGAAAGTTGCTTATGCCTTTAATTATTGGAGAAGTACTTTTTGTGAACCAAGCTTTAATCTTAAAAACACACACACACACACACACACACACACACACACACACACACACACACAAAAAAGCCAGCCTGCTGTTAGAAGACTTTCCTTCATATTTTTTCATGCACTTGGCCCCCTGCTAGGCACTGGGAACACACCACTAAACAAAACATGGGGACACCGCCCCTTAGAGCTTACAGCAAATCCAGTCTCCACCCCGAATGTGTGTTCATTTTGGTTTATTTATCCAAGTTACTATGTTGTGAAAAATTATGACTAAGACAGCCCAGCCTTCCAAAAGCTTATAAATAATAAGGGGAATAAAATGCATACACGTGACAATACAAAATAGGTATGTAAATAAGATAGGTGGTTTGCTATGAAAATATTGTGAAGTTTAGGGAAGGAAAAAGTAAGTGGCATTTAGTTAGATAGAGGTGAGTCATTCAGTAAGGAGGGAGTACTTGAAGCAGAAAGTTATTGCAACTAAGTTCATATGTGGGGCATGAAGGAAGAACATTGAACTTGACTACAGGATTGTAATTTTTAAGTGTTCTTGTTTGAAGAAATATAGGCACATAATCTTCTATAATAATAAAAGAGTAATATGCTAATTAGACCAGATGTCTTCCGGACGTCCTTCCTGAGGAAGCCGGGGCACGAAGGAATCCAGCCTGGTCCCGGGTGCCTGCGGGTGGCTGGAGGAGGAGGGAAGTAGCCCAGGTCCCAGGTGCTGGAGGGGAGCCAGTGCCAGCAAGGGGGGGGGGAAGCCTACTCTTGCATGAATTTTCATGCATCGGGCCTCTAGTTCAAGTTATAAAAAGAGGGAAAAGGACAGATGACAAACAGTGTATCTTCCAGACTTGTACCCAGTCCTCCCTGGGGACAGCCACGAGTTCCAGTTTCCTGTGTGTTTGTGCAGAGGTATTCTGCCTTATGTGTATGCCTGTGCGCACCTCGTCTATTAAATTACAGCGTACTGTTCACACTGCTTTCTACTTTGCTTTTCATATTTTTGGGTGAGTGTCCCCAAAAAATGTATATATACTTTGAATGATTATAAAGTTAGTGTTTATTAGCATATAGTTCATTTTCAAAATTTAAAAGACTGCAAAAATAATTTGTCAACACCTGTTTTCAAACTGGCACTGCTGATTAAGCAAAGCAATGGAATCGCAAACATCAAGAATCATTCTGTTTGATGTTTTTGTGCCCTCCATTGGTCACCTGTTGCCAGTTTTGTACCATAAACTTTTATCTCGTATGTATCCCCATAAAAAAAGTCTAGTGGATAAATTTTCTTTGTTCAGAGCTTAGTCTGGCTTCACCCATTATTTCAAATCAGTTAGACCTGAAAAAGAGTGAAAATTACGTGTTACCTGCTGTTAAGGTGTGTATGCATGTTTTTGGGACACCCTGTATATCTTAGCAATTGTTGTGTAACAGTATGTGTGAAGCTACCTAGTTCTTTTTTTAATGGCCGCACAGTATTTATAAGTCCCCTGGAAAAAAATGACCCAGGGAGCTGAAACTGGAAAGGCCGGCTGAGGTCAGGAGTGGAGAGCTGGGCCAAGTTTGAGAATTTGCCCTCATAAGTGAGAGGGCAACTTCATCAGCCTCTTAAAAGAGGTAAGATGTGTGTGAGCAATTGTACCCTAAACTTTATCGTGTTTAGAAGGGCGGGGAGGCATGGGGCACAGGCAAAGGACCAGGATGGGAGCTCGGAAAGAAGACATGAGGGCACCAGTGCCCAGATGTGGTGTGAGGGACGTTCAGGGACCCCTGTCCCACGCGGTCCCTGGAGAAGGAACCGTCCAGGTGGTTCCAGAGCTGGGCTTTCTGAAAACCTCAGTGGAAGCGTTCCCACGGACCTGGAGACGGTTGGGCCTTGGTCAGCACCATGGGTCATACTCGGGACACAGTGTTTCTGACACTTGAAGGAAGTCAGAGGCGGGCCCTGTGACGCGGAGGCAAAGGCATGACGAGCCACGCCTGACTTGACACGTGATTCCTGTTGGCTGGCCTTAGGCTCCCACCTTTGCAGAACATGGTAACCTTGCTTCTTTTGTTTCCAGCCGTTTCATCCTTTTTCTTCAACT